TGAGAGAATCAGATAATAAATGTCTGACTTAATTATAGCCGGTCTCCTTGAAGAGTAATTTTGTTGCGGCTTTAGCTATGCTCCCTGTGTTCGACCATGATTACTTCCTCAATATTTTCACCTTCATATAATCAAATGCAGAGCGAGGGCTCATTTAATTGCAAGGAGCCCGACTGAAGTGGCCTGAGCTTTGTGACTTAGAATGCAATGTATCGACATCCGCGTTTGGCAAGTTATTTGCAGTGCTACAGATGGATATTTACCCGGGTTTACCCAAAGAGGCAATGCCAAGGTTTCCCATTTTAGGCTTGTACGCAAGAATTATTTACGAGTTGAATTACAACTGCGAGCTGCAAGAAGTATTATTTGAAGCAGTTTAAACTCACGTATACGCTTGTGTGCATAAGCGCTTTATCTGAATTTCCCCTAAGAATGCGTGCCTAGCCCATAGAATTCAGTTTGTTTTGCTCATTTGGATTTCACTTGTTTTATTAGTAGATTTTCTCAGTTTTAGTCATAAAATGACTTCCTGAAAAGCATTCTCTAAAGGAATACATCCTTCATATTCTCCTGTAACCAACATCCCTTCCAGCATTTCGGAAGATGTATACGTACCTTTTATTACTTTTTGCATTGTATAAATGTGCCCTAGTTTTTATGTGTTTATCTGGTTTTTGTTACTCCCTCGTGATTAGACAATGATCTAACCTAAACGCTTAACTACTCAAGGTTGTATCAAGGCGAAGATAATACTCCGGAAATACACTCGGGCTCTCAAAGACACGCACGACACCTGCGCGTCGACAGGACTAAAGACAGTTGAATGGAACGAATCGCACTTTGATCAGACTACAGAGGGCGTTCGCCAAGGATGCACAACCAGAAAAGCGAGATTTAGTTATAGGATGTGCCCTTCTCTCGTACACGACTACAGTCCATACATTTCACAGGTCGTGAAATGAGTGCCTCCCAATATCCTTCTGCCGACTACGAAAGCAGCGACCAACGATATTCCAGTGTACTTGATACATCTGAGAGAATGCATGAGACTAACTTTGAACGACGCACGTAGACACCTACGACTGTCCTATATCAAGCATAACAAGTATTACGACAAATTAACACCATCTCACCATCCCCTTCTTATAACACTATCACATATTGTCAAACTACGGTGCTCCACTTTCTTCTCTCTTCGGTGATATAGAAAGCTTAATAAGTCTTTACCGAGTTGGGCCGATGCGAAGGAGGTATTTGCATTTGCTACAAGTATTAAGCTGGTTTGTAATTGGTCTAGCAGTTGTCTTTAGATAAGTGACATCCTCAGTGTGCGTAGTGGTCTCATTTACCTCTGTGTTATTCATCTCGGTGATAAGAAAGAAGACATAGACACATCTGATGTGGGTACGACTCAACTGAGAAAGGAAAGGGTGTTGATGTGAGGCAAAAATCTCCTCAACGTTCATGGCCTAGGCGCAGTCGAAGCAGACGCGAGTAAACAATCATCGGGTTGTGCGTCGTTATGCACATGCATGGCTGTGTGGATCAGCAACACCTACTTTGACGAACTTTATACGCGGAGTGTCAATGTTGCTCTGCTTGAGTCTGTGGGCTTGGGAGGGTGGCGATAATTCAACCAACCCTAAAAGAGCTTAAAGCATATCGCAACAGAAAAGGCTACAACTGCATCGACACATCCTTTCACATTCGCTTCATCCTCTATTCACAACAACAACTGCATTCAAGCATCTCACACTTAGGTGAGGTTATGCCCTTACATTAAACTCTAGAAACTCGTCTGTATGTTAGTTGTGGCTGCGGCTGTGGTAGTGGTGATTGTCCGCATTTCCAACACATTACTTTAGAGGGCACTTCTGTGAATAAATTCATTTAGTGCACAGAATGACTGGTTGATTCGGAAGACACGTTGTCAGTGCATGGAAGCAGTGTCTTACGGCTATTCAGCCACATTGACAACGTTTTCTACGCTCAATCTATTTTCCATTATTTGGCAGAATATACTTTGAAAATACAGCAGGTACTGTGTGAAGAAGAAGCATAATTTACACTGCTTGAAATTTTTCCCTTTGTTATGTACGACCTCCCAAGGCAACGCTGGAACAGAACGCCTACCATCAATATGACTTTGGGAAAACTTTCGTTCTCCATACCAGTGTTCGAGGGTAAAGGTCAAATTCACATTTAACTGCAGATAATATCTAGGTAAACAAGAAAACAAAGTCAATACATCACGTGTGCGTGACAGGTCATGTGCGTGTGGGGCCACTGCGTAGAGACCAACACGACGCAGCGCTGTCGCTTCTGCGGCACCAAAATCTGCACTGCCTGTCTCCACGGTGACTTTGTTGGTGTAGCAACTGACTTAGAGCACTGCTTGGTATGTCATTTGGGCAATAAATTCCTGGAAGCACTGCCCAACCCGAATGCACGCGCCTACACATCGGAGCATTTGGTGGAGATGAGGAAACTACGAGGAGAGGAGGGAGGCAGCCTCAAAATTATG